ACCGTGGTGCCCAGAAGAATTTCTCTGTCGGGCCTAGACAACATGCGAGCCTGGAAAGGTAGGTGCACACGCCGCGCGCCTCGACACCGCGCCCGCTGGCTCCCCTGGCCGCTGAGGCCCTGCGCCTTCGCCACCCTGGAAGCCCTGCAGCGCTCTTGTGTTGGCGCTGGTCTGTGGCAGCTCCGCCCAGGGCTGCTCGGAGCAGGGCCGCGCTCGCCGCCTCTTTCTGCTGCCCCGTCCTGCTCCGCCCCGGCAGCCTCGGGCCCTGTCTGCAAAGCCGCGTGTGCTCGAGGCCTTGTCTGTATGTCCTGCACGGAAACGCTGTGCCCACGCTTTGCTGACCGGAGGCGCTGCTCAAGCAGCCTCCAGGCTGAGGACCCGGGCTCGTCCTCTGGTCACGCGATGGAAAGGCCGTGTGACCAAAGGGTCCTCACGGGCTAATGTGTGCGGTGGACAAAGGCACAATGGACAGTGGAGGCAGCGCCATGGACCACGGAGGTGAATTAGAATCTCACACTGGAGAACAAAAGAGAAAAGAAGCGCCCAGGCGGCGCAGGGCTGGAGTCTTGGCACGAGTCCGACCCGACCCGGGCCGGGGAGGGCCCCAGGGTGCTGCACACCCCTCCTGGCTCCCCGCTGCCCCCGCAGCACAGGGTCTCCGTGGATCTCTCTGTCCTGCTCCTGCCCTCTCAGCCCTCTGACCTGGCCCCCCAGTTCCTCTATGTATAAGCGCTAACACAGAATCAAAGAAAAAGTTTTGTAAGGCACGAACACAGACCTCCACACATTCAGTGCAAAGACACCAGTAAAATCGCCGTGAGACTAAGAAGCAGTCAAGGGCAGCGACTCAAGGGCACACCCCAGAGCCACTGAAGTGGGCGGAACAGGGGGGCAGGGCCACCCGGAGCCCAGGCTTGGTGGCTGCCACGGGGCTGGCCGTTCAAACACCGCCACCTGGGTTTATTATCCGGGATATTTCATGTCATTGATTTATTTTTCAAGGAGATACTTTTAGTTTGACAGATGTATTTATTTGTGCATCCAGAACTGGGGTGCAGGCCAGAGGTGTCGGGGCGGTGAGAGGCTTCCCCAGAGACAGAGCAGGGAGCAGGATAGGCAGATGGACGAAGCCCACTGCTGAGGGGAGCAGCGGGCGGGGCAGGAGGGGGTTCCTCCCTGGCTGGGGCTCGAACGCGTGCTGAAGAGGCCGTGTCCAGCTCCACAGCGCTGCGCATCAACTGGTTGTGCCACCAGGGAGGGCTGGTGTTTCATTTCAGTTACTCTTTCTGCTGTTGTGTGAAAAGTTTAAGATTTTGATTTGGTTTTTAGCTCTTCTAAAGTAGGTTACGCTGCATCCGCGTGGGCCCAGTCATATCACATGCAAAGACTAGTAACGACTCTCTTACGTTCCCGCTTGGGTTAGCAAACCCCGGACGCTGAAGAGTGGCAGTGACCCGGGGATCCCACAGCAGCATCGCGTTGCCCAGACCAGTGAGTTCGCGTCACAGTGAGGGGCTGCTGAGCCACCATGATGACATTTCTCCTTTATCCTGTTAGTCTGAGGACCCCCACAGGCTGACTGGAATGCATTCCGAGGGTAGGGTAGCCGCGGCTTTGGGGTGTCTTTGTTTGGAACTTGTTTTTTGACCTTTGTTCCCAAGAGAGATTGTCCTGTGATTTTTCAGACCTTACCAGATAAACCATGCGGGCATGGGTTTTGCTTTGTGGAGAGACTGAAGTATTTTCAGGATTCAATTTATTCATTCTTGGTTCAGATTTTGTGTTTTCTGTTGCACTCCTTTTGGTAAGTTATCATTTCCTAGGGGTTCCTCCATTTCACCTAATTTTCCAGATTTATTGGCATAAAATTGATTCCCATGCCTCCCTGTACCGGCAGGATCCAGAGTGGATCCTTTTCACTCCTGACATCGCTAAAGTGGGGTCTTCCTTTTAATCACTCCTGATGGGGTTCATCAGTGTTATCAGGTTTTTATTTTCGAGAATAAATTTTGGCTTTTAGATTTCCCCCATTGTCTATTTGTTTTCTGTTTCATGCAATCCTAGTCATCTCTACTATTTCCTTCCTGCTACTTCACGGGTCAGCAGACTCTGACCGTACCTGGCCAATAGCCCTTGGCCTGCTGGCTGACAACGGTCTTCATGCTTTTAGGGGTCACTAAAAACCACGACCTAGCCTTCAAGATGTTTGTGCTTGCTTGGGGGTAATCTGCATCCTCTTCTGAATTCCTTTCCTCTGTCTCTAGACCTGACGTGTTTAAGGGGAGAAATCTTCTGCAAGCAGTCTTCCCTACAGCCGGTAAGCTTGAGATGTCACTCCGTGTTCAATGTTATCTACTTTTAATTTTGGGTTCTGCTTTGACTCAGGCATTATTTCAAACTGCATTTCTTAATTCCTAAACCTGCAAGTTGCTTAGTTATTTCTTGACTACACTCTGGTGAGAGCAAGATTTCCGTGAGTGCATCCCTGAGAATTGAGATTTCCTTTCCAGCCCGGCACTGCAGCGTTTCCGTGAGTGCGCTGGAAGGGAGCTGCTCTGACGCGGCCCCAAGTCCCTCAGGTCAAAGTCGCGTTGCCCATCCCGTCACTGTTCGGCAGTTCTGAGAGAGTCAAATCCCACGTTACTACTGCAAACGGTCGTCTTTCTCTTTTATAACTGTCACAGCTGTCTGTGTTTATAAAACTGCTACTGGTGAAGGGCATTTCTTATTTGTGCATCATTACATGCTAACTCTAGAGCCGAACCAACCATGTATTTTCTGATCTTTTCACTTTCCCCTTCTCCACACCTATATTGTAAATTGCATCTTATAAAAACTATAGTTTCTCCTTAGTGCTTCAAAGTTTTGCTCCTGTTCCGAGAGTCTTCTTTTCGTTGGAAGAGTTAATCCATGGGCATTCATCAGGTTCAGTTTATACCCGTTTATTTTGTGGTTTCTATTGCTCTGATGTCTACAGATTGACTAATTTGCAAATGTCTCTTTCCTTGGGTTCTTTTGAGTGGAGTTTGCTTCCTCATTTCAACTTTCACCTCCACTGCTCTGAGCGTATTCGTCTACGTCTATTCTCTCAGTGATGACCTTCTGCATTTTACCATACAGACTCAACGTGTATCTGAAATGAGTAGCTTTGCTTTTCCCCCAAGAAATATAAGGAACTCAAAGACTTTAAATTGAGTCACCTCTCCCAATTTAACTGCCAATGTCATATAGTATTTTACTTCTATTTGTCTTTTAAAATCCCATCAAGAAAACATTTATTAGTATTGTTTTTGTAAAAGATTTATTTATCTATGCATATGAGAACTGGGGTGCAGGCCAGAGGTGCAGGGGGTAAGAGGATTTCCCCAGAGACAGTGGGGAGCAAAACAGGCAGATCCACTGAAACACTCTGCTGAGGGGAGCAGCGAGGAGACAGGAGAGGTCTGCTGCGCCCTGAGGTCAGTCCCTGGCGGGGGATCGAACTCATGCTGCAGTGGCTGGCCATAGTTTTATAGTGCTGTGCTGTAATCCCTGTGCCACCAGGGAGGGCCCCAGCCATTTTATTTTGTTTAAGCGTCACTCACATCAGCTAGTTTGCTAGCTTGTTGCTTCCGCTATCTCACGAGTTCCTTCTGGGATACTTTTCACTCCTTTTGTGGTTTATTCTTTAAGATTTCCTTTAATAGGGTCTGCTGTGGGTGAGTTGTGTCAGATTCCAATTGTCTACAAGTGGCTTTTAGTGCTTCTTGTTGTGACAAGAATTCCCCTGCATCGTGCCAGTCTGACGATTGCCGGGTGCAGTCAGCTGTCAGTCCCATTCCTTGTAAGACATTTTCTTTTAGAATTTCCTTTGAACCTCCATGAGGGATTTCCTGTAGTAGTTGTCATGAGGAAGCCACAAATTCAGTCTTTGGGAATGTTTTCCTTTTGCGTCCATTACTGAAATGCAGCTCTACTCTCTGGCGACTTCTTGCTGGACGATTTGGCATCAGTTCTAGTCCGCAAAATTTACGAGCTGCTCATACACTTTAAAACGTAGGCCCTTCCTCTCCCCATGGAAAACGTAGGCGTGTTAGGTGATGCTGACGGTGACGAACGTTTGAGACTCTGTCCATTGGTCTTGATTCTCTTCTTTTTTGTTTCTTGCCCAGCTCTAGTGATCTATTTTGAAGCTCACTGAGTCTTCTGTCAGCTCAGATCTTCTCTGGAGGCCCTCCAGTGAGTTTTTCATTTCAGTTAGACTTCTCAGCTCCAAAGCTACATTTGCGCCTTCTTGCAAGTCCCAGCTGTATCCCGTGATTCTGTGCTCTGTGCACATCTGTGCGGTGCCACTTTAGGCGCCTCCTGTGACCCCACTACCTAGAACTTTTCGGTCAGTTTTACTGACTGGCCTTCGTCCGGCAGCCAGCAGGGGCAGAGACTGTCATGGGCTGGCGCATCACCATGGGCTGTCACTAAGAGGACGGAGGATGTGCAGGAAAGGGCCCTGTCGGTGGGCTGTGAGGGGCTGCAGCGCTGTGCAAACCAGTATGGCGGTCGGTCCCCCCAAATGGAGAATGAAGCACATGGATCCTGAGGAAAGACAAGCGGGGCTGAGGAGCTGGCGATGCTCCTGTGAGGCCTGCAGCTCTGTCCCGTGGCTGAGGCGTGAGCATGGGAGCCCGCCGTTGGTGAGACAGACGCGGCTAGTGACAGTGACGCCAGCGTGACAGGGACGTGTGTGCCGGCGGCTGCCCCTGGTGAAGGGCCCCGGCTCAGCGGTGGGCAGGGGAGAGTCCTGCCCCGCAGGGCTAGCTTGCCTGGCCCAGGGCACTCGAGGAGGCCCTTGAGGGGCCCGGGCCGGGCGTGGCCCAGCACCAGTGCTGCCTCGGGCCTCTGGCCACGGCGGTTGGTCTTACTTGAAGGACTGAGAGCCGGTCAGCTGCAGTTTGCGGTTTGGGGTGAGAAGTTGCCCCGCGAGCAGTTGAAAGAAGCCCGAGGCTGCCTGGCGAGCAGGGTGTGCCTGGGCTGGTGGCTCAGGTCGCGTCCCCACAGAACCGCGGGTCCCGGCGCCTGCTCCAGACGCCACTAGCTCAAGTGTGAGCTTCCTGCGCTGTCGCCTCCTCATTCACTGCACATACGTTTTCCAGAGCAGGTCTGATTTCTGCGCTCTGCGCAGCTTTGACTTTTCTCACCCACCCGGCTTGTCTCTTGCAGCAGACGTGGGCGACCAACCCTTACGGCACCGGGACAAGCGACTTAGTTTAAATTTGGTAAGTTGGGCCCTTGGGCTACTCTAAGTTTTGGTTTTACCAGCTGTCCATGTGCCCTTGGCGCCTGTGGCGCTCAGGCTGCAGCTCTGAGGCCAGTGTCTCCCGAAGGCTCTACAGATGAGTCCGCGGCGCCAAGGGCACTTGCTCACATTGAGGGAGCGCCTCACACTAGGCTCCCCTGCTAAGCTCAGGGGGAGCCCAGCACACCCCCCCCACCCAGCGGGGGGCGGGGGGGGGAGTCCCAGCTCTGCAGCCCCAGCTCCGCAGCGGCTGCGGACTGCCCCCTGGTGGCGGTGTGCGGCAGCGTCCTGCGCTCTCTCCAGCCCAGCAGGTTCTCGCCCATGTGCGCCGCGGCTTCCTCCGGGGTGGACGACAGCTACGTGCCCATGCAGGCCGCGGCCTCTAGCCAGGGACCCCCCTGCAGCCCTGACGAGTATATCCCCATGAGCTCGGGCTTGTTGAGCCCACTGCCTGCGCTCCCTGTGGACCTGCAGCCTCCCCCCGTGAACAGAGACCTCAAGCCTCAGAGGAAATGTAAGCACTGGACCTGTGAGCAGGAGGCGGGGGCCTGGTGGCCAGGTGGGGAAGTGTCCTTCCTCCCCTGTCTAGAGACCGCAGCAGCAAGCTGCAGATTGCGGGTGTGTGAAGCAGCGGGGCAGGGCCGGGCCATGAGGCCCAGGGCCTCACAGACGCCGCCAGGCCGTGGCCAGCACAGAGGGCCTCGCCAGCTGCACCCTGAGAGGGCAGAGGGAAGCGGGGAAGAGTGAGAAGAAATGCCATGTGCCACGCCTAAGGGCCTTTGCTGCCAGGCCCGCCCCGGCACTGCGCCTGCTCCGGGTGGCCTTGCCGAAGCCAGCTGTGTCTCCGTGCATGAGGGTGCCGCATGCCCAGGCCCGTGGGCGCGAAGGGAGGAAGCCAGGGGGGTTTGTCCGCCTGAGTGGGAGCGAGATGGGAACAGCACCTGGAAGGAGAGGAAGCGTCGGGGCAGCACTAAGTGGGGGAACAGACCTGCTCTCCAGACGGTCACAGGACATCACCGCTCGCTCTGGCTGGAGCAGACAGGCTGCTGTGCACGCTAGAGTGGGGTTTCCGCTGGCTCCCTTCCACGGGGAGCTCGCCAGTAGCAGCTGTGGAGCTGACGCCGCCGCAACTGCACCCTTGCTGCACAAAGTGACCAGCAAACCATAGCAATTTTAGTGAAATCCCATGCCAAGTGCTTCGCATAGCAGTTAAGGAGACACGGGGCTGGCCAGGTGCAGGAGGAGGATGTGCGGCCTGGGAGGGTCCCTGGAGGCAGCACACGGGACATGAGCCGGACCCGCCCGACAGTCACATCATCCTCTGGGGGCCAGCAGGCAAGGGTCCCTGAACCCTGTGAGGGCTGGTGAGCCTGCAACACAGTAGAAGGTTCCAGGCCCAAGGACCTCTGCTGAACAGGGCCTGGAAAGGCGCTTGTTGGTGTGGGGACCCCGTTTGTTCAGAGTTCCTGCTGCCCCCCGGGCTGGGCCTCCAATCGCAGGCCAGGCGCAGCAGCTCTGGTCTCCGATGGGTGTCTGAGTGCTGTGTGTCCCCGCAGCACGGCCACCGCCCCTGGACCTGCAGGGTCTCTCCACCATCCGGGAGCATGCGGCACTGAGCAGGGCCCGCACCGTGCCTGGGTGAGTGCAGGTGGCCGGGTCAGGTGTGGGGACCAGGCTGAGGCCCCTGGAGGAGGCGGGTACAGGAAGTGGCTGGAAAGAGAGGCGGCTGGAGCTGGCCAGCTCTCCCAGCAGCTGGAAGACATTGCTTGAGCCTCGTCTGTTTTTTCCTCAGCAATCGAAGCAGCTTGCTCTCTCCAGAAAGAAATGGCTTCAGTTCGGCCAGGTTCTTTGCCAGTCCTGCTCCCAGAGAAGAGGAAGGGAGCTACACGCGCATGGTAACCAGCCCTGGCCATGCTCACCCCAGCCCATCTGGAGGCTGCAGCCCTGGGGGTGGGGGTAGGGGGTGGGGTGGGGGTGGGGGGGTGAGGGAAAGCCCGGCCGTGTGCTCCAGTCTGCTTCTAGCCCTGGTGCCCACCAGAGGGCAGCATGGCCTGCACGGTGCCTGTCCTTTCCTCCTGAGCCTGTGAAGGGGTCCGGTCCATCAAGCTGACTTCTGTAGCCCGCACACCCAGAGGGTTAGGGGAACGGTGCTTGGAGGTCGGCGGAAGTGACGGGGTTCTGAGCACAGCCCTTGTCCCCAGGGGCCGCGCCGGCGCCATCTGCCCAGGCTCGGCAGGTGGACGGTGACTCATGTCCGCACAGCCTTCTTCGGAAGCTCTTTCCCGCTTAGGGCCCTTGGGAGGGGAACCCGTGAAGGGCGCACGGGCTGCGGATGCTCGGGTGGGCGGCTTCTCACAGGCCGAGTGCTGACGTGCCGGGACACGGCAGGCTGGGCCGAGGCCACTCTTCGCTTGTACGTTTTCTGCCCTGTGCCTGCAATAGGGCTCCGCGGCCCCGCACTGTGGCGTGCTCTGCCCAGGCAGCGGTCGGTCCTTCTGGCTTTCCTTGCCGAGAACCTGCCCCTATTCAGAGGCTGGGGTCGTGGCCAGTCATCTGGCCATTGTGAAGACAGTTGTTAGAAACCTGCTTTACAGGTCGGGGGTGACATTTTCCACTGTAGCAAAATAAAAGTAACAGCTCATTTGCCTTTTTTTTTTTTTTTAAAGATTTGTGCATCCAGAACTGGGGTACAGGCCAGAGGCTCAGGGGTGGTGAGAGGCTTCCCCAGAGACAGAGCGGGGAGCAGAGCAGGCAGATGGATGAAGTCCGCTGCTGAGGGGAGCAGCGGGCGGGTCAGGAGAGGTCTGCCGCGCCCTGGGGTCCCCTCCCGGGCAGGCGGGGACCGAACTCATGCGGAAGCGGCTTTAGCTTCTCAGTGCTGCGCTGTGACCCGCTGCGCCCCCAGGGAGGGCCCTCATTTGCCATTTTACCATTTTCAGATGTACAGTGCAGTGGCAGCCAGCACCCTCGCGATGTGCGGCCACCTCAGAACTTTCCCTCAGACCTGGGTTCCCTCCTTCCACATCCCATCCTTTTGGATCGGCCTGTTCTGAGGGCGCGTGCGCACCTGTTTTCGTTCCTTGAGACCGGCGCGTGCGCAGCTGTGGCTCCGTCACGGCGTGTTTGTTTCTCCAGTCATCTGGGCAAAATGGCTGCCAGTTCTCAGCATATTCACCAACACTTGTTACTCCCATTTCTTCATTTTCTCCAGTCGCCACCCTAGTACGTGTTAGTTGCTTTCTCCTCGTGGCTTGGTTCACACTGAGCATCATCCTTCCATGCGCTCATCAGCCATTTGCCTTGATTCGGTTATTCACAGCTCCTTGAGATTTCTTGCTTTGTAGGATGAGACTTTTCTAGTATTGCAAAATTGCTGCTATAAAAAAAAAAATGCTCACACTTGCAGATTGACTTGCATGAGGTTGACATTCTTCACGATGCCAAATCTTCCAGTCCATGAATATAGGATGCCTTTCCATTTATTTATGGTGACTTTATTTTCTTTCAGCAATGTTTTGCTGTTTTCAGTATACACTGTACAAGTCTTTGTTGTCTCGGTTAAATTTTATTTCTAAATGTTTTATTCTTTTTGACGATATTGTAAAGGAAATTGTCTCCTTCCTTTCCGGTTTGGACAGTTCATTGGTAGTGTGGAGAAATGCAACTGGATTGCTGATTTTGTATCTCACAACCTTGCTGTATTTATTTTCTGTGTAGAACCTTCGAGTTTTCTGCATATAAAATCAAGTCATCAGCAAATAAATTATTTGGCTTCCTGTCCAGTTTGGGTGCCTTTAATTTCTCCTTGACAATCGCTTTGACTAGCTCCCACTACCTTCCTAAATAAAAGCAGCACGAGAAGGCATCCTTGTCTTGCTCTCATAGGTTTCCTTGTGGACATAACTGTTCACTTCTCTAGGGCAGCGGCCCTTAGCTGGGTAACTTAGGGACATCTGGTTCCCATACTTGGGCTGGCATTTAGTAGGAAGAGTTCAGGTGTGCTGTGCACCCTGCAGGTGGGATACTCGAGTATTGCTGTATGCCAGTCTAGTGACCTGCAGCCTGCTAAGTTCGCTTGTTAGTTGTAGAGTTTTGGGATGTTCTGCGCTGCGCTGCGCTTCCTTTTTAGTCACCAGCATAGTGTTGTCCAGCGCTGTTCATTTAGTTCTAATCATTTGTTCTTTGTATGTGTTGCTTGACTTGATTTACTTGTATTTCGTCCAGGATTTTTTTTTATCTGTCTTCATGGTGGGGCTTGAGCTGTTTTCATGGGGCCTGCAGGTGAGTGGCTACATGTAGGTTGGTAGGTCTTGCTATCCAGGAAAGGAAGGCCTCTTGCTTTCTCGATCGTCCTCAGTTTGGGTGGTTTTTTTGTTTGTTTGCTTGTTTGTTTGTTTTGGCTACTTTCTATTCTGGGACAAATTTGAGAAAGAATTTCTCAATTTCTACCAAATGAGAAAAAGAGAAATACCATTCTCCACAATATTAAAAACTGATCCAGTGAATTAGAAAACACCATTAGCACTTCTATGTATAAGAATAAGAATAGGGGTGGAATGAGGAACTCAGCACATGAGTTAAGACACTTACCCCAAGTCGTGGTAATGGCTTAGTGAGCTAAAAGAGAGTTGTGAGGAAGTTACTGATAAGCCAGAAAGAGAGAAAAACAGTGGATATGAAAGAAAGTTGACATGGAAGATGGGAGAATCATAGAGAACAGGTCATTTGCCCAGAGCTGCAGGAGATACTAGGAAAAGTAGAAGAGAAGCATCCGTGAGGGGACAGTGACCCACTTCCTCACAATTCACGGGGGATGCCATGCCCCAGAGACTTCAAGGCCTGGGCAGTGGCAGTGGCAGAGAGAGGGCATGTCGCTGTTCAGAGCTTATTTTCTTCCATCTGGCTGGATGGTAGAAAATTTTCATTATGTGGACAGCACATTTGAAACTATAAAGCCCACAGAAGGAAAAGGAATAAAGGCAGCAGATCCACTGACAAAATGAACAGCAGAGTAAGACAGGATCAACGCACACCTCACTGGTCCTGTAGTTTTTCTCCTGGCCCTGCAGAGCTCATTTTAACGCTGGCTTACCTGGCTTCTTCAAGACTAAGGTTGGCTCCAACCAACCAAGAAGCAGTGAACACACACCACGCGCTGTGATGTGCGCGCAGGGTATGGCCGTGCGTGCCCGAGGCCAGGCTGGCAGCGGGGGCAGCTTCCTCCCCGCGCACCTGAAAGCTGGTGAAGATAGGCAAATTGCCAACAGATATTTTCAAAAGTGACTCAATAGAAAGAGAAAAGCAGAGTGGTTGTAGCAGCACTAGAGAAACTGAGTCAGCAGCTTTAGGACAGTGCCAGCAGAGAGTGGCGGTCACTCGGCTTAGAGAACCGCCTCCGGGGAGCAGTGGAAGGAGGGAAGACGACCTGTGCTGTTGACGAGGCTGGAGCAGCTGGTCCCAAAGCAAGTGCAAGAAGGCCCAGCAGGAACGACAGGCCTTCCCTCGCACTTCATGCCGACTGCAACATCTTGTGGCAACCAAATCTTGTGCGTGAATGTTATCACAGAAGCGCTTCCCACACACTTTGAAAATGCCACCAGCTGATGACTGGGAAGCGCAGGTGAGTCCAAGCCCACCTTGGAGCACGGGACAGCCAGCCCCCCAGTGCCGTCAGATGCTCGGACACCACACGGTGAGCTTCGAGAGCAGGAAGCACTGGGAATGCCAGACGCGGTCTGCCCGAAACATCTGAAAACGAGAGCGAAGCCCATCCTGGGCTTGTGCCCCAAGCCCGCGTCCCAGACCTCAGCCAGCCGGGCACCTGCGTGTCGAGATCACAAGGCGGCCTCTGGGCTGTGTGGCCGTCCATGGGCTCTGGGTCCCAGCGGGCCCGCCAGAGTCCAGCGCCATCGCCTCGGAGACTCAGGCTCTAGCATTTGCTAGAACTCCGCACGTGTTCACGGGGGAGTCGGCCCGCGAGGAACGGCAGGCGACCCCAAAGCTCACAAGTGACTTTCGAATCGGGTCACAGCGAAGACGACTTCTCCAACACTGCACCCGAGGGCCACTCAGTGATAGAAAACTAAGGGAGGGAGGAAGAAAAAGTCCGCGGCTACTCTGCGATGAACACCCCGAACAACGGCCGGGGAATCCACTGCGCTAACGCGGCTCAGGTGCATTGGCAGCTCGTCCCCGTAGGAACCAGTCCGGGGCGCGGGGGGGGGGGTCCTCAAGACGGGGGCACGGCCGGCAGCTGTCACAAGACGCACTTTGTTTGAACAGGAGAACACTCGAGAGCCGGCTGGGCTTTTGCTCGTGACACGCAGCTGCTGCCTGCTGTAGATGAGGAAGTGGGCCGGAGGGTCAGCGCGGCCAGCAGCTCTATAGCAAGATTGGCAAAGAGGAAACAGCCTGCACAGACAGTGCTGGAAGAGAGGAGATGAGTGACCTCGGCATGTCAGCAGGCGGCTGGCTGGTGCATTGCTAATCAGGCCTGAAAATCCAAGCGCCCCATGAAGACGCCATTCATCTGTGTCAGGCCCGAGAAATTTAGAAGTCTGCCCAGCGGTGGCCGCGAGGGGGCGCTGAAGGACGGTGGCCCTGGTTGCCGGGGCTGGCCCAGAGCAGCCCTGCAGGCAGCCTCAGAGGCGGCGCCACGCCCCAGCCCTGCAGCTCTGCCCACAGCCCCAGGCCCAGGAGCCCTGGCGTAGGGACACAGGTGCTTGCGGCAGCGGGACAGCTAAGTCACCTGTGGCAGTGGTCGTGACGGCCAGCGAGCTGAAGCGGGCGATGACGTGCTGCTAGTGGACGACGACTTATGTGCTGGCAGGAGACTGTACCCCGAGAAAGCGCCGTTGAGTGGTTAGCCGCGGTGGGGAAGGGGAGAGCAGGGTCCTGTGTTGGCAGGGTGGTGCAGAGCGCGCGTCTGCTCTTTCCAGGGTTTGGGCTTCAGGCTGTCACGGTCAGTGCCTTGGGCATGCTGAGCACTGACCATCGAGCTAGTGCCACGTGGAAACCAAGTGGGTGACGCTGGATTGCAAGTGGCAGCTGTCACAGGGCAAGCTGCCCAGCATAGGTCTCTACCCTGACACTGCTGAGCTGAATTCTGTGGTGTTGGTTCCTAGGAGGAGCACAGAACAGCCAGCTCGCTGATGTGGAGCAGGACCTGTGGCCTGGATTACTTAGCCCTGGACTTCAACTCCGCGTCGCCAGCCCCAGTGCAACAGGTAGGGAGGACTTGGTGTGTGAGTCCGAGAGGATGCCACTTGTGCTGAGGAGTCCAGCATGTGCGTCCTCTATGGAAAGGCCTAGAACTCGGACATGCACAGTGAGGCAGGCCGTTAGTCTTCCCGCGCTGCGAGAATCAAGTGCGTGTCTGTGTGTGCGTGTGTAGACAAGTCTGCTACTTTCCTGCCTTTCACAGCTTGGACCCTACAGCTGATAGGAAAATCCTCAGGGGGCGCCCAGGTGCAGGGAGGGCGATGTTGGGGACAAGGAACAGCTCAGTTTGGCTAGCCGCCAGTTGTGCCAGCTGGCCTGGAAGGCCACGGTCAGCAGATGGCACCCCGATGTTAACATGGGCGTCAGCTCTCCTGACTGCTCTGCTGAGCCCTGCGGCGAGCTGAAGAGGGTGTGCGGGACGCTGGCGTGCTTGTGTGTGAGCTCTGCAGTCACATACGCACAACGCCCACATCTGAAGCTTCCCTTTGGAACCCGGAAGTGAGGCCCCAGAAGAGCAAGGCTGGTAGGCGGAGAAGGCCCTGCCTAGCCCCGCCCCGCCCCACCCCCCGTGGTAGCTCAGAACAGTGTGGGGCAGACCAGTCAGTGCCCAAGCCCCAGGTCACCTTGGCCCGGCCCACCCGGCCCAGAAGGGAAGAGCAGCCCCTCGCTACTCATGCTCCTTGGTCAGGACGCGAGAGCTTCCAGACACGAGCACGCAGAGCGGCGATGCCTCTGGGCCCGCAGGGCGGGGCTGTGGGACCTGGCTCCCTGGCCTGGCCCTGAGGCCGGAGCGTGCGGGTGGACGTCATGGCGGGCCTTCTGCGTGTCCCCGCAGAAGCCCCTTGCCGAAGAGCAGAGAGTGGACTACGTGCAAGTGGATGAGCAGAGGACGCAGGCGCTGCAGAGCACCAGGCGGGAGTGGACGGATGAGAGGCGGTCCAAGGCGTGAGTGGCGGAGCGGGCCGGCGGCTGCGCCGGTGGCCACCAGGCCCAGGTCCACACAGATGTGCAGGTCTCGCGGGCTCGGCAGGGACGTTTGGGGAGCTGCTGGCGTGGGGGCCAGTGGGGATGGGAGCGGCGCCTGGAGGCACCGACGGGGCTGGGAGGGCTCCTTTCAGGCAGGGTCCAGCAAAACTGACACTTGCAAGGACACTTTCCCTGAGCCTGCCTAAAACCTCCGCCACGCACGTCTGGGTGGCCGCGGCCACCGGCGTCAGCTGTGTGGCAGACCGGCCGGCAGACCGGTGCTGCTGTGGCGGCCATGGCTGCCTTCTCAGGACCCCGGTGCCCCCGCCCAGAAAGCGGCCAGTTCAGGCACTGGGCGTGGGCATGTGGGGGCTGCCAGGGTGGTGCCGCTCAGCTCTTACCCTAAGAGGCCTGGGGCAGGTGTGGCACCACTAAAAGCAGTTGGGAGCGCTTTGCCCGAGCCCAGACCCCGAGCGCCGCGCCCACTGTCTGGCTTGGCCTGCAGGGACTCGGATGAGCGAGCACCGCCTGGCCAGCCTTGAAGACGCGGGGGCCATGCAGACCTGACACGGGCCCCCAACTTCTGCCCCCTCTGTGGCCGCTCGCCTGGAGCTTTGACCCGTGACGGGGATGCGTGCCCAGCCAGGCTTTCTGTGCGGAAACATCCCCACCACACGCGCCCTCGGGGCCCCTCTCCAGGACCCGGGTACAAGCTTTCCCAGGAGCGGCCCAGAGCCGCCGTCCCAGGGTGAGGGCGCACTGACCCGGCATTGTGTGCTGGACCCGAACCTTCACATGGTAGACGTCTGACCAGAAAACCCTCCAACCCAGCAGGCCAGAAACGCGGTGAGTGGTGATGGGGTCCCGAGCGCACCATGAGGACATTGGACTGACCCTTCTTTTGACCCAGAAAAGCCTCCGCAGGTCGCGGCTTTCACTGAACTGTCCTCCTGCCTCTCCTGCGCACCTGGGGGCCGTGGAGCAGGCTGGCCTGGCGCCCCGGGGCTTGCCCAGGTGGGGTCTCAGGCAAGGCCCGGGTCGGCGGGGTCCCTGGGCCGCAGGCTGTCTGTGGCCTGTGCGGGCGCTCAGACTGCCCGGGCGGGGGGAGGGAAAGCCCCAGCACGAGTTCCACCCGCTCGCGTGGGCCCCGGGGTCTGAGGAGCAACACGCTGGCGCGCCGGGACTCGTGTGCAAGGAGCTCAGTCGGGTTCTGGGCTGCTGGGCCGGCGGCTGCTGGGCCGGCAGGGCACAGATTTCTGAAAACAGAAGTGAGAACGATGCCGGAAGAGCCGACTTCCAGCAGATTTTGCAGGTGTGAAGGGACTAGAATTTTCACCAGGGGTTGACGTTGGCCGCCTGTTTCTTGCTACTTTGACGGAGTGGCCGCAGACAGCATTGTTTCCTTTTTTAAAGAAAAGTAATGAGGTGCCGTTGGGCATTTTATTTCCAAAGCACAGTGTGTCTTTCTGTAGCAAGAGGCAAAACCCCAAACCTCTGTATGTCGGTGACGAGTGGTCAGAGCAGGACACTGCTCGCCCGAAGTCAAGGGCGCTGCGCAGGAAGAAGCTTCCGCAGACCTGGGCCTCGCTGCGGCAGGCCGTGCCTTCCACCTCTTTCCACTGGCAGACGCCTCCGGGCCGGGCGTGTCGTGCGGGAGCCGCCTTGTACCGTAGGTCCAAGTCTGTGAAGGCCCCTTGTGCCCGGCTCCCTCTTCTCAAGGCCTCTTTGCTGCTGACTCTGAGAAGTTCACGTGGACTCACTGCGCCATCTATCTGGCACCAATAAAAGTCTGTCCAGGAGGCGTCGTGATGTCAGTGTTCTCATTGAAGGGTGGCACAGCCCATCATGAGCTGTGCGGGCACAGCCCATCGCCCGGGAGGCCACTCACCCCCCTGTGGTGGCCGGCGGCCAAGCCGGGCCCTCCTCAGCACCCAGCGAGCGCAGTGCCGGCTCCTGACAGCGCACCCGCCTGGCCTTCTCGCGAGCACGCTGGAGAGAGAGCCCTGCCTGCCCTCTACCCAGCAGGGGTCTCTGGTGCCACCCTGGTGCCAGGTCAGTGTGTCTCAGCTTGCCAGGACGGCGGCGTGCTGAGGACTGAGGGGCGCACACAGGATGCCCTGCCCCGAGAGCGCCTTTCCCCGTCACGTCCCGAGTGAAGAGCGGCGGGCCAGTGGGCCCGACCTTTCAGCCTCTCTGTTACTTCCCTTCATACTAGGCCGCATCTGCCATTTATTCAGGCTTTCGTTTTCTGCAGCCTGGCGCTCACAGCTTGCTGTGGGCTGGGCAGGGCAGGGACGCCTCGCTGAGGCCGCCGCAGAGCCTCGGGGACATGGTCAGCCTCGACCTCTCTGCCCAGGCCCCAGGTGGCCCCGTGGGGAAGGCCGAACAGCCCGCGGCCTGTGATTCTGGCTCACCAGCCCCCACTGAGGTCAACCCAGCTCCTGGGCCGCCTCTTAGTTTCTTGGTCAACGTCTGTCAGTGGGGCCTTGCAGGCAGCCTAGGCATTAAGTCACCGCTAGAGCCCGAGTGTGACCCCGGCCGGGGGGGGACCCCAGGGCGCAGCAGACCCCCGTCTCCCCGCTGCTCCCCTCAGCAGTGGGTGTCAGTGGATCCGCCTGTTCTGCCCCCCACTCTGTCTCTGGGCGTCCTCTCACCGCCACCCCCAGACCTCTGGCCTGCACCCCAGCTCTCTGACACACACACAAAGCCCCAAACAGAAAACCCCTCTATTTTAGCGAGGCTTTTGTGTCCGTGTAAAGGAATACCACAGAACGGTCTAATGTCTCACTTGGACTGTTTTGTCCCTTGACACTGCTCGTTCATCCTCACAGGGGACACCACTGATCGGAAAGGGGCATCAGAGGACTTTCTGACACCATGGCTACGTTCTTTCTCAGCCTTGGCGGTGCCTCACGGGCGCATACGTGTGCAGGCATTAGCCATCTGTATGCTGAGCGTAGCTACACTGCACGGAGTCCCACCTCGGGAGCAGTGAGCGGAGTGGGAGCTGGCCGGGAGGCGGCTGCAGAGGCAACGGCAGGCCGGTGTCTGGTTGGGTGCGCAAGAGGTTCAGCGACACAGAAAGCTGAGCCGTGTCTGCTTGTTCTGTCCAGCGCAGTGGCTGTGTCGAGGCACTGCTGGCTCAGTGTCAGGCCGCCTTGCAGGATGTGGAGGGCACTGGGGTGACCCGCCCACACTCTTGACTCCCTTGACTCGCTGTGCCCCTTGCTGGCCTTGGGACTGGCAGGTGCACGGACCCTCTGTCCCCCGCAAACAAACTCGCAGCCCTTATTTCAGGCTCGCTGGACACGTAAGCAGGGAAAGCCGCGCCCCCCCCACGGGCCCCCGCGACCCCTTACATGGGTCCTCAGGCCCGTGCTGCCTCCAAGCCCCTGCTGTGCTGGCCTCAGCCGTGGGTGAACCCAGTTGTGCACCCCACGAAGAGGTGCCCTCTGCGGCCCTGTCCTAGGGCTGAGCTGCTCTCACCGGACTAGCAAGGCGGTTAGGGGCGCTGGCCGAGGATCGGCCCGCAGCCTGGGGTGCAGGAAGGTCGCCGGCAGGGGTGCAAGCAAGCCCTCCCCCGGGAGCCCAGCTCGGCCATGTTGGTAAAGCGCGCACGAGGCAGGGGGCACCATGGCAAAGGGAGTGGGTGTGCGCCGCATGCGCGTGTGGCGGGGGGACAGTAGCGGGCACGTGCGGGGGTCCTCGAGGCGACGGTGGGGCGCAGGCTGGAGGCGGGGTGCAGCAAGAACTGTACCCGGCGCGGGCGGGGCCGTCGGCGCAGGAGGCGCGAGGCCTCGGCTGCAGAAAGCCAACCGCGACTCGCTGGGACGGCCAGCGCGGGGCCACCTCGCTGTGCTCACGTGGGCCACGCAGGGCTGCAGCAGCCCAGGGAGCAGCGAGGTGGCTGTTCTGAGCTCAGCAGCACGCGAGGGCCTCAGCGGCGCTGCACGTGCGGCCGCAGCACTGCGCCAGGGAGGCCAGAGGAAGCGCCCTGGGAGCCGGGCACGCCAGGAAGGGACAGCCATGGGACCGCGCCCGGCTTCAGCCACCGAAGTCGCGTCACTCAGAACACAGATTCTCAGAACGACAGGGCCGAACACATGCGAAGAGCGAGGAGGGCAAGCAGGCGGGATTGTGCAGTGAAGCCAACACCAAGCGGGAAGGGCCACACGGTCTCCCCGTGACGCGACAGGTTAAAGCGCAGGACCGAGGCTGTCGGCCACTGCAACGCGGGTTCGACGCCCGCCACAGCGCTCCTGCCTGCTGCTGCTCCCCTGAGCAGTGGATTGCAGTCAATCTGCCTGTTCTGCTCCCCACTCTGTCTCTGGGGGAGTCCTCACCCCTGCACCTCTGGCCTGTACCCCATTCTTGTGTGCATAAATAATCTTAAAACACAGAAGGTGGCGGCAGGGAGGGCTAAGGATGTGGCTGTGCCCAGCTGTCACGAGACTCCACCAGAACATCCCGCTGCTGGCCTGGAGCGTTGGCTCCTTGTGCACAACACCCACGGCCCAACTTCTGTTCCCACGTCTGCAGAGACGGCGTGGGCTCACCTGCCCCTGGGAGCACCCCCAAAACAAGACAGCATAGCCAGGCAGTGAAGGACCGTGACCTCTGAGCACCCAGCTCGTGGTCTAGGGGGCCGCCCAGTCCCGGCTGGCGGGGAGTGAGCAGCAGGCGTGGACGGGAGGCGGCGTGGGGCAGGAGAGGTGCGCCGGGAGCGCCTCACGTGGCCCCAGGCTCCCTTGGGCTGACCCC